CTGATAGTTTGTTTACATACTGTCTGGTGAGAGTGATAAATGGGGAACAGATTAGAACCTAATTTATGAACTGTTAATGAATACTAGACTAATAATATTGTTGATCCTGATCACCCTATTTTTCTTGCTTTTGGGGAACAAAACTTCACCTTTCAGTTCATTTTATACTCTATGGATCCTCTAAATTGTTGTCAGTATTATACTCAGGTGACCGTTAAGGCCCTTGGGCCTCTCTTTTTTTCTTTGTAAAACGTGCCCAAGGTCTACGAGAGGGGCTCTATTTTTTATATTGTTTAAATGCATCAATTCTTTGAAAATCTTCTCTATCCCTGGAATTTAGCAGACAAACTAACTACATGGTTATGATAAGTAATTTGCCTTTTCCAAAATTGTGGAATATATAGCCCCACTAAGGGGTTCTGTGGAAAGGGGGGACTGTTGAGAATAGAATGAAAGTGCATGAATTCTTTGAAAATCTTCTCTGCTACTGAGTACTTAGCAGATGAACTACATACATGGTTATGATAAGCAAGGATGCTACTTTCAAAATTGTGAAAATTGTCACCCAGGATAAGAGTGTTAATGTCGGGGCATGTCTGTGGAATACATGTATACTATGAAAATGAAATATAGTGATAATGCAATATTTCTTTGAAAATCTTCTTCCCTGTCCCTGGAAAGTTAGCAGACAAACTGCAGGATAAGGATTCTCAAGGATGCCTCTTCAAAAATTGAAATTAATAACCCCTGGGTCAGGGGTGTGTTTGTTTGTTTATTGTTTAACGTCCATCTCGAGAATTTTTTATTCATATGGAGACGCCACCACTTGACGGTGGAGAGCTGCAAATTTTGACCTATACTCGGCACTCAGGGCCATTGAGCAGTGAGGGATCTTTTTTCGGCCAGCACCTACTGCGACATGGGACCTCGGTTTATACGGTCTCATCCGAAGGACCGGTCACCACGTCTCACAGTGGGATTCGAACCCGCGACGTAAGGATCAACTCCTTACTCTGCAACATTATAGCGAACGCTCTAACCACTTCGCCACGTGGGTCAGGGGTTTGGCTCTGTTGACTGTATACTAAAAATGCAGTATTTCTTTGAAAATCTTCCCTCTGCCCATGGGTATTTAGTAAACAAACTAAATGCATGGCTATGATTAGCAAGGGCGTCTCTTCCAAAATTGTAAATTTTATGGCCTCTGGGTTAAAGGCTCTGGTGTTGGATGGAGCTATGTTGAATCTGTGGAGAAAATGCATTATTTCTTTGAAACCATTCATCTCTGCCCCTGGACATTTAGGAGGGAAAAAGAATATATATAAAACTGAAATAAATAAGATTATTTTTACAAGGTTTTTGAAATTCTGCACCATTTGGTCAATTTATCATTTTGTATTCTACTGACAGAAGTTATTCCACTTTGTTATTCACCTATGATAGTTAAACACTGTAAATGTAATTGAAGGGTCAACAGAATAACAGAATTTTACAATTTTGACAAGAGGTATTTTCTTAAATAATGTTAGGTAGAAATTCAAATAATAGCTGAATAAAACAGAGGCCAATGTGAGAGAGAATGAGATAGGTTTACAAACAGTGCTCAAGAACTTTTGTGTTGTTTAGTCTGCATGAGAATAGTGACAAACTGGGCAAGTACAGGCAAGTAAATAAATCAATTTTTATGTTTGCTCATGAACAATAAAATAATTTTGTTGCTGATCCCTGTTCACTATGTTCATATTTCTCTTATTTGGGGCAACATAGCTTTATTTATCGGCGTCTTTGTTTTACTTCATGTTCAATCTCCTGATCCTTTATATTGTGACATTATACTCAGGTGACCTAGGACCCTTGAGCCTCTGTTCCAGAAATATTTCGGGAAGTGGTTAGTTTGATTTGACGACTAGATCCCTACTAAAAATTTCAATCCTCTATGTTACGGGTTTTTCAATATTTCTGAGCATGATGTTTAAAAAATGCAGGACCTATCGAAGGGATCAAGATTCGAGGTCGGATCTTAAATCGTAAAACACGACGGCATCACCATGTTTTTCATAAAGGTTTTTTGACAATAATACCCAATGCGTCTCAAATATGTTTCATAGTATCCAGCACTTAAATTTATCCCTATTGTACAAGTTCTAAGTCGGAAGTCAATTGGCTTCATAAAATTCCTAATGAATAACACAGGTGGACCTGGGCCAAAATGCAAACCTGAGAAACTTTAGTCCCGCTTTTATTTAAAAGAAATTTCTCTTTTTTTTTTTTAAGAAAAACTGTGATTCAGTAATTATTATAGACCTTAATCGAAGTGGTATCTGAATCAACACAGCATACGCGCGCATGCTTTGATATCAACGTGACTATATTGGAACTGAAGTTCTGGAAAAGAGTTTTTTTTTCTCTTTTACTTGTAATAAGATTTGATCTCAATTTTAGCCATCTCTATTACAAGATTAAAAAAGGGAATCAACACAACTTGGATATGTCTCAAGATTAAGGGTTAAATATTGTGCTCAACCTGCAATGGACCAATAATTCTTGAAAAGATTTGATAAATCCAATATATCTTTCAGTTTAAAACGAGTACTTAAAATTTCAGACCCCGGGGCAGGGGACTTCGATGTCCCCGAGCCCGATGTTTATTCATATAGTATTATATAGTAGGCCTAAAAACTGGAGTTCTATATCTCGGAAACTAGAGATGGTACCATCACCATTTTTTCACAAAAGTGGTAACTGACCACTAGTAGCCTATCCTCAAAATTTCAGACCCCGGGACAGGGGACTTCGATGTCCCCGAGCCCGATGTTTATTCATATAGTATTATATAGTAGGCCTAAAAACTGGAGTTCTATATCTCGGAAACTAGAGATGGTACCATCACCATTTTTTCACAGAAGTGGAAACTGACCACTAGTAGCCTACCCTCAAAATTTCAGACCCCGGGACAGGGGACTTCGGTGTCCCCGAGCCCGATGTTTATTCATATAGTATTATATAGTAGGCCTAAAAACTGGAGTTCTATATCTCGGAAACTAGAGATGGTACCATCACCATTTTTTCACAGAAGTGGTAACTGACCACTAGTAGCCTACCCTCAAAATTTCAGACCCCATGACTTATGTTTAAATTTTGAATTGCGAACTGCGTTCTGGAATGCAGTTCACTTTTGAATTGCGAATTGCGAACTGCGAACTGCGTTCCAAAATCTGATTGCCCAACACAGGCCTGGCCCCAGGACCATGAAGCGTAAGCGTAAGTCAAAAATATATATTGCGCTGAAATATTTTAAAAATCAAGCAGTCCAAAATTAAAATGATTTTTAATTTTGCATCAATAGACTAATGTTATAAGCAAATTAAGAGTTTCAGTTCACAATCAAGTGATAAACATTCTACAGATGTGCCACAGTCATAATTATTTGACACTCCTTTTAATAATAACAAGGAAAACAGCTGTTGGGTTCGATATATTTCAATTACTTGGTAAGATTTAAAGGTGACCTGCAACAATAACAGTAATGAAAATAAATGAATACACTCTCATACATAAACACTCACACATTAAATTACTTTAATATATTTTAGCTTTTCTGTTCTAATTATCTCTAAGTGGATAATTATTTTATAATATATTTACTTTATCTAGAGCAACGGTGGTAAAATTTCTTACCCAATAGACAGTTAAATTGTCCACATTATGAAATGAGAGACCTTATGGAGAAGGAGAGGAATTCTTCCTTACTCCTGGCTGTTCTAGGGTGGAGTGAATTAGTTAGGGTATTTGGCGCCAAGCATGAGCACCTGAAACCAAACAGGTAAAACCACTCACACACTCCTCACTCTAAAATATCACCCAATCATACAACTCCAAGCCTCAGCCATTCTGACACAAACACCTTTGACCTTTCACACTCCTAAATCCAAAAATGAGCATTCAACCCGATGAATATGAATGAGATATTTTATGAATGAACACATAGTAAATTCCAGAGGACTGTAATTGACTATGCTGTAAAGATGAAAATGAGGATGAAGATAATAAATGATGATTAGTAGATTAGGTAATTAATTATTCAATCATATATAATATTTATTAGAATAATAATTTATTCACCCTGTGACATTCTCCCCCTCTTAGACAAAAATGTCTCCTGACATTTCAAATACGAAAAATCACATCTGAAATAAAATTATTCAGTTAATTTAAAATAATAACTCATACTACTTGACACTTGATCATTGTGGATGTCTTCCCTTGTAAACAAAAAGATGTGTCATGCATTAGTAACATGAGTTGTAACGATCAAACAAAAGAACAAGTATAGTCCAAGTAATATTCTGAAAAAAAATACATGATTAGTATCATAAAATAAACCAAGTAACTACCCTTAGCCATTCACTAAATTTACTGCCATAAAACTTATATACACCTACTGACCTGTACATTATGTTTCAGATCATCAATAAAATTAATTTAGTAACTCTTCTTAGTAAATTACTAAATTTAAGATCATAAAACTATAATACATATTTCATAACCCTGTGGCATTCTCCCCCTATACATACCAAACCTGAGGACACTGTTCCCCAACTACCCATTCACCATAGCTATCTGGTACATTTCGCACTTGAGTAGTGCGTCTCGGTTGTGCAGTAGACGGACTCGTTTCAAGTTCACGTGGCTGACTTTCATTAACATTTGTATAATCTAAGCCCGAAATTGTGTTCGATTTCTTATCTTGAATATAAGATTCAGGATCAATAGAAGAAAATGAATCTTACTGTTGGATAGGTCTACTGACATTATTACTGATACTGAAAGTATGTTGATTTGGTCTACTGATATTATAACTCACATTGAAAGTATGTTGATTTGGTCTACTGATATCCCATATGTTCACATGAACTATTGAGATCAGTATTGTGATCTACATCTGAAGTGTGTAAGACATTGTACTTTCTTTTACAGTTGCAGGGTCTTGTTACATATATTTATTGTTCTGAATCTGACTCGCACGATTCAGACTCTTCTTCATTAATCTCACCTTTCCTCTTCATCTTGTTTTGTCTGGTATTTTTCTTTGTTATTGTTGGGGGTGTCTCTTCAATCTCTTCCTCATCTGCAAGAAACATAAAAGGTAGTAATAAATTTTTGTGCAATAACCTTGTAGGCCCCTTTCCTGATGCCCTTTGCACCTTGTACACAGGAATGTCATCATTTGGTATGTCTGTTACTACATAGGGGTCTTTCTCCCACTTATCTGAAAGTTTACTTCTGGTAATAATGATCTATTCACCATGCACTATCTTGTGTTCAAATCCTCTTAGCATATGTTCTAATACTGTTTCCATTAGTGGATCATGTTTTGATCATCTGAAAATTTCCGCAAGAATCAAATTTACTGCTGTTTGCAATGCTCAGCTACACATACAATGTGAATTATTCCAAAAAAAAAAGCATTAATGTCTTATTCAATAGATAACATGCGAGAGCTTCCATGGCAGTGTTTCAAGGTTTTAGACAGATCGATATCAGATACTCAATGAGAAAGACTCTCATTTTGAAAAATGTGCAGATTACATTCCCAAGTGTGATCATGAAAGTCATACACTGCATTCATTTCATACGATAGTATTTCTCTTACAAACAGTTTTTTAAAGTTACGTGAATATTAAATCCATGTCTAGATAAAAAACCTCATTTTCTCTAACTCCTACAGGCATACAAGTATATACACCATTCATCCATAATAATGGTGATTTTTTTTCATGCATAATATTTTAAAAACTTGCGCGAACCACCTGGGAAAAAAATACGGAAATTTCGAATTAATCTTGTCCTTACAAATTCTTTTGACATTTTGGTCTGGATTGCCACAATATTTGCTTGATAATACAAGGGGAAATGTAGGTACAAGTGAAACAACGAAGTGAAAATGAACATATACTGCATTTAATCACAAAAGTAATATATATTTCCTAATATCAAATGTGCAATTCTTCCGGAAAGTACACAAATCAACATTCAAATGATTCCATTGCATAATGCTCTTCTATATATAGACCATTTTATATCCCTATTTAATTAGATCTGATTAATGATTAAGATATAAAAAGTCTATATTTGATGACTGTAACACCATGAACACAGGGAATTTTATTATTAAGTTTAAGATTTCATACCCTGTCATTTTAATCCAAACCAAAATAAGCATTGGCAATGATCATCAATTGTATGGAATGTGCTAGGGGGGTAAATTGTGACCAAAAAACTTAGAACATAGAAAAATTATGATCGCTTTGCTTACCCTGAAAGTTGCCTGTTGCACGGTAAGTAACGGGGAAAAGAAATAAACGCTTTTTAAATATCTATACATCAAATTCATTACAGCAGACAGCATAACTTTAGAATTTGTTAATCATAAATTTGTTAATTATAAATCAATTATCGCATGCATGCGCATATTGCTTAAAATAACGATTACAATAACATAGGAAAAAATTTGATCATTTTTTCTTCTTTTCAAAATATAAAATTTACCTTAAGAATTAAAATTATTATACTCTTTCAAAAAATCATGAAAACACTCAATGATACAGAAAAAATGTGCAGAAAAAAAGGCACTACACATTTTTGCGCAGCAAAAAATGGATACTAGATAGCAACAACAACATACTTTAGCTATACAGTGCGCTGTTATATTCATACGCAAATTGTACAACACCGCGCGAGCACATTATATACTGCAGACAAAGTCATTAGTAGAGAAATCACAAGTATAACAAATACAGATATAAAATGGACAGTTAAAAGTTTTTTTTTTCACATTTTCTTATGTAAAATTATTTCCCAGATTTCGTTTTTGTGATAACACTTTAAAGGAGTACACAATTAATGATAAACAATACATGCACAGTTATATATGTCAAATTGACAGCAGAGAAATGCCACCTGATGAAAAAAAAAGGAATAACAAATATGTGTTCTGACTGAATCAACTTACTTGAAAAACCGTTATTACCATTATGTTTTACCATTAATGGAATTTCTGCAAAGGAGGCATAAACTTAGAAAAATCGGGATTTATCTTTTAGATGACTTCAGAGTACAAGAAGGGTACACAGATTTTCTGCCATTCTGTTCCACAAGATAAGATAACAAGGGTATCCCCTTACCCCTCCCCTTCCCATTTAGCTTTCCTTTTTTTAGTATCCATGTCTGTGTTCACAGATTAACCCTAATACATAATAGCATATCTAGTACAAATGTGTATTGTATCCCAACCTTGCTTTCTAAATAAAACAAGAACATGAATTAGCAGGTACATTATCTTTCTCACTTAGTTGGACCTCAGTGTCTGTATAACCTGGTCAGCCAACCAAAATATTAAATTGCAAAGTTCGGAACTGATTTTTTTTTTTAAAAAAAATGATCTGAGGTTCCTATCTCTTCTGACAAAACAAATAGCTAAAATAAACATTTCTAGTTGAAAAAAGTTGGAAAGAAGAAAAGAATGCTTCTACATGTTGGTCAATACCTATGCCAAGCCAGTTTGATTAGCTAATCTCTTAAGAATGTTAATCAGATGCATGTCACAAAAAGGATGCGTCACCAATTCTATCACAATAGCCAAATCTTGTCCTTGATCAGGCACATTATGATGAGAAAAACTCTATAAATTTAATATCTGGCTGTTGCAATATCTTGGTATTCAATACGGCATGCAGTTTTAGTGCTAAGTCACATGGAACCAGTCTACAGGGATTTACTCGCATAACTGCAAGACCTAACTTCATGCAAATTAGTCATAGTACAGGCTACCAGCAAGTAAACATAACAAGATGTTTAACAGTTGCAAAGTACATTTTCTGCTTTGCTCAAAGATATCCATACCTTTTGTAGGATTATTTTTTCCAGAAATAATAATAAATTTTGATCATGCTCTAGAGCCCATACATCATAAGTTAGTTTAACAAATATTGATTATTTGTTTTACTTCTCTACAGTGTACTTACTGCATGATAAATGCATGCTATCACCATGGTAATTGTTTTGATACCATGCAGAGAAATATTTTTTTTTATCAACATGCCATAGCATTTGTTTTGGTACAGCTCCATCTGTGATGGAACAGACACATTGCGTGCTTTCTTGTAAAAGTACTGCACTTAGAAATCAACCAATGGATAAGCCACAACAGAGTCACATGACAACTTACTTCCTTCATTGGTGATGACAGTTATAAGCTGTGACACTGGACCTTCCCCTTTACTGGAGTAAGCTAGGACACAAAATGTGTATGTGTCATTTGGCTTCAGACCCGTTATAATAGTTTCACTGGTGTTCGACAGGACTTCTTTGTTGCTCCACAGAATCATGGGTAAACCTGCTTGCAGAGTGTAGAACACTCGGTATCCCTAAGAAAAAGAGAACAGAGTTAAGAATATTTCTGCATAGAAAACTGTTATAAATTATTCCAAAAGGACTAGAGTATAATTGTGGTACAGATTATTTTTCTTTTCTTTTTTATCTATTTATTCATTTTTGGGTTGGCAACAACCTGTATGACACCGTTTGGTTTTTCTGGAGGTAGCCATGACACACTGACTGTGTTTGAGTTAAGAGCCTTGGCGGTAACATATCTGGGAGGTGTTCCAGGTGCTGCAAGATAAAAAAAACATCCAGATTCATAAAACAAGATTAACTTTACTTAAGAAGCATACCAGTATTCTCAGTTTTAGACAAATGTAATTGTCTAACTTTGCATCTTATAATTGATTAATCAATAATGCCTTTGCAAAGTAAGTTGTTTTGCTTCTGTGAGAAATAATACTTGGAAGCAAGATCAGCTTAATTGACCATATTCAATTAGAAATGTTCATGCCTCCAAAGACAGAAGAAATACACAAAGTAAACAATTCGAAAAATCCATGCAAAACTATAAGTGAAAATAAAAGTTTTACAAAATATACATATTAAATTAAGAAGTGACTAAAAACTTAACTTTCAATATTTTTTATTTCAACTTAATGTCAACTACTTGAATACTAAAGGGCAATTTTAGAAACTGGGTGACCTAGGAACACATTTTCACCAAAGGCCAGTTTCTGTGTGTGAAGTATAGATGTGGTAAAAAGATTAAGTACAATTTGTGTCCCAGTAAAGCTAACCAAACTCTCCCCATGATGTCCGACTGCCTCAATCTTGCCAGAAGTAAACCAACCTCGGTAAAACAGTATATATATTTAGACTGACAGCTTATAAATACAGGCTGGCCAATAAAGTATTAAATTCTAATCAATTCAAAACAGGCTTATGAAATTCAAAGTAAGGGAATGATAAGTGAATTTGTTGCAGACATAATTCCTTGATCACATCAGCATATGTACCTCCTTAGTATCCATGAATTAGGACATCTGGATGCTGGACATTTATTTCAGAAACACTGTATATCAAGGTATGTCACTTCAGCTTTTGAGAAAAGTTTGATCAGAACCTTTAACTTAAAAATTATTTGATTTATAGCATACTTGAATTAAACAATTTAAAATTATACAACATTCAATTTAAAAACTGCTTACAAAACTGTAAAGAAAAAAAAGAGTGTGCAGTAATATTTATGTATAGATCATAATTGATTTAATTTTTAAAATTCAAAACAATACACGATAATTTACGAGCGTCATCAATATAAACACTTCGTATACACGGGCTGCACATCCCAATCCGACGGCTTGATTTATAACAACGTTATGAATAGTGATATCCTATTTTCATCATATAACAGTGGTTTTCCACTTCTTGTAGTGTCTCCGAAAATTTACACATCTCCGAAATTTTACACACCGTTGAAAAATCGTATACACCAATTACAAATCAATGAACTAAATATATTCCAATAATTTCAAGTTGTTTGAATAAATATTTTGTGTCTGACGTCGTTTCAACCATATTAAAACATAATTGTATGATTGGACGCTGTTCCGTTCGGATGGCCGACGTCGTTTTTTCTGTCAATTTTTGAAACATACTCGTACTTCTTGCGGTTTTCGCTTAATATTCTCACTGTCTATTTAGTAAGCGATGCTAAAGATATCAGAAAATGACGATAGCCGCTTTATTTGCGACACATTTAATTTTTATTAAGCTTTGACTCGTTTTATAAAGAATATAATCATTTTGATCAGAACACTTTATTTAACAGTTTATGGCATTTTAACCCTGGTCCGTGCGCACTATCGGCGACCTTTAATGTCCGCGATTTTTACAAAAATATTAAGTTCAAACAATAAAAACCAAACTATTCTGACTTGGATTTTCGTAACTAATATTTTGGTATACAATAAGTATATCTTTAACCATTCATTTTGACAAAAACGCCATTGTCCACGAACTTTTTGGACAATCCTCGTAGATAAACAAGTGAGTTACAACCAACAAATGTACAATACAAAAATATTCAAGGAAATAAGAAAGGAAGGAAGGAAGCGTGCAAGGAAAGGATGTAAGGTGGTTGTAATAGATACATAATGGTTTTGCTGTTTATTCATAAAATCTTTTCGATTTTCTTATATATTTGTGTACAGCTTTAACAATGTTGATATTATTTTGTTGACCCAAGTTTGGGTCCCCTAACAGAAATGTGTCCAGGTCTATTGCTCCTTGATATTTCTGATGGTGTGAAATAATTCTGTTCTTATTAAGGTCTTCCGTTTCCAACGGAAGACCTTCTACTGATTGTGATGATTAAGATTATTCTTCTTTTTTTTTTTTTCCTAGACGCCAACTTTGACGCTTCATATCTTCCTCATTTTTAAACAGATTTTGTTCAAATTTTCAGAGCTTTTAGACTTTACAAAACACTGTCAGAATACCGTAATACAATTCGGAAATTACCTTCTGTTCACGAGTTATTCCCCTTTGATTGACTTTTTCATGCCTCCGATTTCCAGACAAAGGCTCAGAAATGGTTATAATTGGAGCACAAAACCCTTTGAAATTGAAAAGAGGAAGTATTGAAGTTGTGCACATCGGTTTTTGTTTTTTGATTTTTGCATTAAAAATGGCGCTAGAGAGGGGTCAAAAGTTAGAACGCGGAAAACAGCAAAAAAATTGACATATTTTCCTTTATATCTTGAAAACTAGAAATATTTTGCTAAGACATGTAGAACAAAAGTTGTGCATAATTACAAGGGCTTTCATATTATACTATTTAAAAGGGGCTGGCCCCTATGATTAGGGATCTTGGGCCCTTAAAAGTTTTTGCTTTATAACTCAAAAACGGTAAATATTTCGATCTGGATCTTGGGAACAAAATTGTTCTTTTACACCTTTTTGATCTAATGAAAATGTTGTTTTGTTCGAGTATACCATGGGTATTGCGTAATACGTATTAGAAAGCTGGCCAGGTAAACAGGTAACGTTTTTCATTCGGCAAGGAAATCAGACCTCTTCATGTGTATAACTTAAACAGACTTGCTATCAATAATATACCCTGCGGTATTTAATGTTAATTTTCTTTTTAATAAGGTTTGAAACGTGGTTTATGGTTCACTATTAAATTATTTATTACAACTAGTCTTTCTTTTCTTTTTTAAATTAGATTAATAGTGTTCAAAAGCGGAGAATATTAAATCTATCTTTCTACGTTTATTATTACAACAAACTTTGTAAGTGATTTTAAACTGTATGCATTGAATAATTCACGATCATTAGCTGTATGCATATTACGGTCTCCATGTTCAGCTCGATGTTTAGTTATGTAACCCAACGCGCGAATCCCACGCCTTTGATCGAGGTCACCAGTGTACTAGCCACCTGTGGCCATAAACAAAGGTAGTATTTGTGATCGCGTATAATGTCAATTTTGTACAAAGAGCTGTTAATTAATGGAAAGTTATGTTTTTAATTATATCGAATCAGTACGACTACTTTACCGATCTTTTATAATCTTAATTCCAAACACTGGTGCATAAAAATCATTTTGAATTTTAATCGCTGTTTTTGTCTGTTCACGCAACAATACATTTACATCGAAATATTTCGAAAAAGCTGCCGTAATTAAAGTTGTTAGTTAACATCTTACTGATCTCAAGAAAACGTTATTTTGAGCTAGAAGCATAACACATATACAGGTAAGCGTTTTCATTCAGCAAGTAAACAAGAGCTCTTCATGCGTGTAATTAAAATAAACTTACTATAAATAATAAACCTAGCTACATTAGATGCTAATATTCTTTAGAATCGGGTTCTTGAAGTGTTCAGAGCTTTATTTCTAAATTATTTACTGACAACTTTCCCTTTTATTTCGTTTGTTTTCAAATTTGGATAAACCAGTCTACTTAACAGGGAAAAAAGATAACCTTTTCTTCTTATCATATAAAAACAAACAATAAAGTTAGAAAATAAAACAAAACTTTAAACATAGACCATTCACAGCCATTAAGTACACGCCTTTTACATTTACCTTGTGTGTTTACAATTATGTAACCCCTCCCTCGATAGCGCGTGGCAGAGGAGGTCACAGGGGATCAATCGGCGTGTGATCCAGCGACCTAAGGTCATACACAAAACAAACCATAGAATGGCCTTTCCAAATACATTTTGTAAACTAAGTGATGAGTGGATAAATATGTTGAATCTTTCAGATTATTTTATAATATCTTTGGTTAAGTCGCTAGTACATTTCAATTTATATTTTATTCGCTGAATTACAAGAAAGTTGCATATTAATTTTATTTTTATAAACATTGTATTTCTCGATATCGAGATAATTGCGCTTTGTGAAAAATTACTTTAAAATCATTCAGAATCTTTCATATTATTTCGTCTTACTGTTTATCACTCGCTCGTTTTAATCAACTAGTCTTAACTGACTTCAAATTCAATGCATTCGAATGCCGAAAAGACCACTTTGTTTGCGTATTAAAGAAACAGTTTATTTATCTCTCTAATGTTATTATTTAACGAGTTGCTATTTCTTTCATGAACATTAAACAGCATGTATATAATTATCACGATGATTGTACGTAGAGGTCACATTTTTAATTGTCAGGAAAATCGAAAATAAAGTTAACTACTTTTGAGTTTGTATTATTTTCTTCCTAACTTACAATATTATTGCATACAAAATACTAGTTCGGACGCAAGTAACCTAAGTATTTCACTTGTATTTGAAAATTCTATCGAGCGTCGAATGAATTTTACCCGTTAAAAAGTGTACAAAAAAAAACTTCCTATGCAGTTTTCTTTGGGAATCAATTGGCTTAGATAGTTTACTCCGACATGTGTTGACAAAACTCACGCAATGAGAAGCCATACATTTCAAACTTGTGACCTCTTGGTCAGTGCATGTGAAGTGCACGACAATTAGTGTCTGGGAAACGAATTCAAGTATGTTTTATAAATGATTTAACAGGTTAAGATTTGTTCTCATTCTAAATTAAATACAAATTTACACAATCCCGTTATTTCTTTGTTATTTTATACCGTCAGTTATATTAGAGATTGTTTTAAAAACGTGTTGTTTAGGAAGATTAACCTTATGCTTTTGTTTTATTTCATCTAATAAACTTAATTTTCCCATGATACGAATTACTGGTACATGCATGTAAGTACGCGTAAATGCGGTCTTATTTGTTTATGTGGAAGAGCGCCCAAAA